CTTAACTTAGTTGCTACATGTACATGTACACAGGCAAACAGATATTAATTCCCTTGAACAAGCAAATTAAAATTGCTCCGAAGTCTAGAAAACTTGCTAATAGTTTGTTTTTATAGGAACAGCGTCGAGTGATTTTTGCCGGTCAATGCTTAGCGTTTGATTTGATACGGTTGGTGGCTTTCGCCCAGGGTGACAATCTGTGCATTGCTGACCAGGCACTGATATCGTGGTTGCGGCTTTCCCGGACTTGTATTGCCAGAAGTCCTGCCATCCTGTCTATGTCCCAATAGAACTCGTTTTTAGCTTATTGTATTTAATGGCTTTTTGTTACGAAAAATGCATTTAAAACGAATACATATAGGTAGGGTGGCGGCTCGCTTGTAGTGGTGGCTTCGCATGTGGATTATAGTCACGCAGCAAATGTTTTAACACCCTTGTTCAGACCGCTTTTGAGACCGCCTATTGTAAACCGAAGAGCAAGTTAATGATATCTTACTTTTTAAACATTCTTGTTTCAGTAGGAGTTTTTCATAGAAGGTATGATTCAATTCAATACACAAAGACCAAGTGTTTCGTTAAGAAACAAGTTAAAGGGTGTTGAAAAAATCCAAATTTTGACCGGCAGAATCTAAAAGATCAGAGGGGTGTTAAAACATTTGCTGCGTCACTGTACGTTACAAATACTATTGAAGAAAAACCTTGTGTTTTATTTAACGTTTAACGTATTCGGCATGCGAGCTGGCCGGGTAAGCGAGCTGGCCACCCACCCAAAAACACCTCATGTAATTAGACCGTCTTTATTCAACCACCCACCATGCCACCAATTCGCTCTCAAAGCTCTCAAAAACGTACTGAGCAAGAGGGTAGGATCTTGTTAGCTATTGAAGCCATTCAGAAACAAGAAATTAGCTCTTTACGCAAGGCTGCAGAGCTTTTTGATGTCCCCCGCTCTACGCTCTCGGCGCGTCTTAGTGGTATCACCTACCGCGCCGAAACACGCGCTAACAGCCATAAATTGACTGTTTTCGAGGAGGAATCGCTATATAATTGGATCATCTCACTAGATGATCGTGGAGCTGCTCCTCGGCCGAGTACTGTACGAGAGGTAGCGAATTTACTACTGGAAGCGCGTGGATCTACTCCACCCATTACGGTCGGCGAAAAACGGGTCAAAAACTTCGTCAATCGATATCCTGAGCTCTCTACTCGATTCTCTAGGGCTTACGACTACCGGCGAGCTCAATGCGAAGACGAAAAGGCGATTTCAACGTGGTTTAACTTCGTGAGGTCTACGATCGAGAAGTACGGTATTCTAGACGATGATATCTACAATTTCGATGAAACCGGCTTCGCCCTCGGTCTTACAGCTACCGCAAAGGTTGTGACGAGAAGAACCTACGGTCGGAGAGCTGTTTTACAACCTGGAAACCGCGAATGGGTGACTGCAATTGAAGCTATAAGCGCGGCAGGGTGGGCGCTACCGCCATGCGTTATCTTTAAGGGCAAGGTCTTTATGGAGGCCTGGTTTAAGGATACCAACTTGCCGTGGGATTGGCGCTTCGAAGTCAGCAAGAATGGATGGACAACCGATGAAATAGGCCTCGCATGGCTTCAAAAGCACTTTATTCCATTGACTACTAGCCGGACGAAGGGAAGGTATCGTCTCCTAGTCCTCGACGGCCACGGCAGCCATCTTACGCCTAAGTTCGACGATATCTGCTCAAAAAATAGGATTATACCGATCTGTATGCCGGCGCATTCATCTCATATCTTACAGCCTCTCGATATCGGCTGTTTTGGGGTGTTAAAGCGGGCATACGGGAAGCTAGTTGAGTCGCAGGTAAAGCTTGGTGTCTGTCGAATCGATAAAAACGACTTTCTTACGGCTTATCCTGCTGCTCGAAATGAAGCATTTAAGCAAGACACTATTCTGAATAGCTTCGCAGCTGCTGGTATCGCCCCTTTTAACCCGGATCGCGTGGTTTCGAAGCTTTCTATACGCCTACATACCCCACCTCCTCCGAGCCGTGGAAGCGATTCGAGCCTCAATTTTACCCCGAAAACTCCGTATACAGCGAAGGATGTACGGCGACAAGCATCATCTATTAAGAAAATGCTACAAGACAACCCATCGCGGGTAGAGGCAGCCTTTGAGCAGATCGTAAAAGGCTGCCATTTAGCTATCCATGGCGCTACTATTATGCGTCAGGAAAATAGCGAATTACGGGCTGCCAATGCGAAGACTACCCGAAAGAAGCAGCGTACAAGGAAGCGAATAGCTCACGAAGGTGGCATGACTGTTTTGGAGGCTTTATCGATGGTTTCAGGACAAGAAATAGCTGATGAAGCAGGATCAGCTAGAGAAGGAGGGTCTTCGCCAACACCTACTCAGCCTCCTCAGAGAGCAAGGCAGCGGTGTAGCCTTTGTAAAAATGTAGGACATAAAAGAAATAGGTGCCCAGAGAGGTCTGAATAGCTTCAGTTTCAATTATAAGATGTTGTGGTGCTGAAATGTACAATTTAATGCTAGTAATAATTGGTGGGTGGCCAGCTCGCTTACCTGGCCAGCTCGCATGCCGAATACGTTATCTACAATATAATAATCCATAACGTACCTTGGCGATTCGTAATTATATGGCGAATCATATTGACCACCCGTACGTCCACTTTTAATAACACAAAGAATACAATCTTGTGTTTTTCTTATCTGCATAAGTGTATCAGGATCATAATTATTACAAGAATTATCAAATGGTGGCATATATATATGAATTTGTCTGTTCTACCTATAAAATCAGTTAGTGCTGATTTATCTTGAAATAATATTTTACATGTGCAACCATCTGGTAATGTTACAGTACATTTGTAACTACTTAAACTATTTAGATAAGTTATCCAAATTTGTATTTGTATACCTAATTCAATATAAACAAGAAATTGACGAGATAACCATGAAGCATGTTGTAACATTTCTCGTGGGGTTTCTGTAGCCGCATATTTGCTACTTCTGTTGTTCAAGGAGTAACAGGATTTCTCATTTAATGTATTTGAACTGACATCAACAGGATACTCAATTACTCTTAATGCAGTATTATGATTAACTAATGTAATACTAGTTGGATTGAATTTAAAAATATTTAATCTAGAATAAGTTGGTTCTACTCATTGGTTAAACCCACTTAAATGTGAAACAGTATTATCACGGAAACAATCCAAAAATAATTTTACCTCCTCATCTATAATATTTACTACTAAGTTTCTTGCATAAGTAGTAGAATTATTAATCTCTTGACATAAATACAATCTATAATCGTTAGGAGTATCGGTCAAATACACTGCATTTGGGCCGACCATGCGCCGCCAATGATAGGCGGCCCGCCTAATCCACGGGCCGTGTCGAAATCTACTATTGATTATAAATGGTTTTACGGGGCACTCTGCCATCTGAACTCGTAATATTGAGCTCTGTATCTCTTGATAGTCGTGTACAAACGGAATGCAGATGTGAAATCCTTTGTATGCCAAATTGTTGGACCACGTAGTAATTCCTGACCTGATAGTTGATATACAATTGCTGGGAGGAAAGGCAACATCGGCTGAAACACAGAGTCCCTAGTCCGGCTTCCCGAGCAAGATAATGTGCGACTTACTAGCACGGAACACCGAAAAAGGAAACAGTCACCAAGTGCCTTGATCCAGACCGCTAAGCGGGGAGGGCGAGGAGCTAGGCAAAGAATAAGACTGCTTCGACTGAGGCATGTCTTCGGTGTTCCTAGATGGGGAGGGCTGAGGAGAGCAAGTGCGTCCTGTTTCAGAGGTAGATTCCTCAGACTGCTCCGAAGGTGACGAAACCAGGCCATTGTGTAGAGCATTATACTCTCAACGTGGAAGACCACGTGTCCTCCGCATGGACGGATTAGGTTTAGATGCCATGCTACTGTTTCCTGGCGTCAGTATATCAAAAGGGTATCGACGGTGATGCATAACATACCTTGAGCTACCTGGGCTAGGGTTAGAAATTGTAGGGGACTTGAGGATAGGATGATGGTTGACAGGCCCAGTCCTGATCGCGCTTTATATGCCCTTCCTGACGTGAAAAGTTGATAGATCCCTTTTCTGTTTTCTGCAGCGCGATATTGACGATTCTGAACGTAAACAAATGCAGCCAGGGTCATTGAAGGCTCGGGATCGTGAAGCAAACGCGTTTTTACGTGCCATTTCGTTGTGCACGAAGTGTGAAATGGATTGGAATGGAATCAGGGAACTGAGAAGATCTATTCAATTAATTTCCTGAGATGATTCGCAATTAGGTTGACAGATATATATAATCTTCACGGATATTCGTGGCCGGTTTCAAGTTCCTATGGACAGACCCATATGAATGAGTATCATGTCTCAAAATGATCCCTACGGCACATCAAGCTGGTCAACCCTACATAAGCAGGTTGTACCTTTCAGCATATATTCGCAACGGAGATTCATAGTCCAGCGTTGCTGGTAACGCGATGGCATTGTGAAATCGACCACTACGCGCATTTCAGTAATACGATAACCGCTGTACCGGACAAAATATTGACGCGGAGAAATCTCACATTGTACGTAATATGAATGCGAACATGAATAACGCGTTTATTTGCGCAGTAAAAAGAATTCATATATTCGCATTCCTTTATTCTTTTCGGAGCCCTAAGCGTCTCAAGATGCTCCCCCTTTCCACGGTTGATAGCCTATAACAGCTCCCTAGATACAAAAGTCTGTTCTCCAGGAGAAACGGAGACAGAAGCAGGCAGAGATGAAACACGAGAGAATCTCAGCTATCAAATCAGGGACTGATGGCAAAACTCAGATAGTCCCAGCAGCATAAAGCAACGCGTAACACATAAGGGTTGAACCTTCCTTTTGACCCTAGAGGAGCACTCATGCATTTGAACGGTCCACTAATGGTATCCGACCCCAGTATCAGCATCTCTCACCATCAATGACCGGAATCGAAAGACTTCCTAGATCATTGCTGCCTTTGCCTCTCGAGAGCTCATCCTTATAAACAGCTGCCGTGCTCTATCACCCCAGAAGTACAATGGAATTGTCAAAACCATGGGTAGGCTGACCACCATAAATATTATCATATACACCTGGATCCAGCCCTTCAACTGGACCCAATCTACCGCAACGTAGAGGAAGACAAAGGCAATGGCATTCTTCGCCACGTTGACAATGACAAGAACTTCGGATGCAAAGGCGGGATAACAGTCGACAAGGTAGGTCACTGTCACATTTGGCGCGTATACGGCGCCAAAAGCCACTGAACGCCAGGCGGTGTCCGCCGATTCATCGTCAAAGCCAGGGTCGACAGGAGTAAGGCAAAGAGAGAAGAGGTGTAAAGAAGTGGAAGAACTCACCCATGCCGAATCCGACTGCGATGAATGCCCAGTGTAGTCTCCCGTCACAGGTGAATGCCACTACAATGCAGCCAATAGGCCCAATGAATGAACCGGCCCCATGGATACTAGCCGTAGCTCTGGTACAAATACACCGCGGTTTCGCTTGATCATCCGGGCCGTAATTAAGTCGCAGACGTACCCACCGCCGAAGGTAGCGAGAGTGAAGCCGATGATGGCGGAGACTTGCATTAGGCCCACGCTGCTTACTGGAAATAGGCAAGGAGGCGCCATGAGAAGTGATGGGAAGGCTAATGCCATATGTTTGCAAGCCAACCTTCCCGCGATACAATATCGTGGGGCTCACAAAAAGAAACCACTAGCGAGGCGAGGGCGCTGGCATAGACAAACACTGTCCAGAGAACAACCAAGAATGGTAGGAAAACAAAGGGTACGGAAAAAGCCTTGGCTAGAGATAGGGATTGGTTTGTGTGGAAGAATGATGTGACGACCCGGCGACGTGGAAACTTGACAACAAAGTCTTCTTTTTCACCAACCGACAGGCCCTGAGCATTCTCGACATTGCTTACACTGGGGCCTACCTTGATTGCTTTAGCGTCATCTGGCGGAAATAATGAATAGGTGGCTGGTGACAGGACAGCAAGATGCGGTCGAGTGAAGGAAGGCTCGGGATACAAAAACAACGAGAGCCAGGAAATCAAATCCTGCTAGCGCGGCGCAGAGCCAGACAACGTCCTCCCAGGAACCAAGGCTATACTCGACCACAAAGCCGGCCATGAGTGGCCCCACTGCGGAACCGGCACTTGCAAGCACCACGTAACTGCTCAAAATAAAAAACGGTATAAGCTGTAGGAGTGTCATTTGGAGATGTGCTCTGAGGAGCGAGGTGGTGCTAGCCTGTGTCGGCTCTGGCGAGAGGAGGACAGCTGCGGCTGCTTTCCCGAGAGCAAGAATGGTTTGAGCGGGATCTTGAGCTTGGTCTTTTCCCCAGGGCGTTGATCAGGACAACGGTAGGCCGTGTCTGGGGTTCCATGAAAGTGACCTTCTTTGCAACTTGGATGTCTGCCTCCTCGACTGAGAATATCGAGGGAGGTGAAGTAGATCGAGATCTGGTGGTTGACTTGGGCTTCGGCGAGACATATACCGATGGCTGCAAGAATATACTGGACGCCAGTTGTGGAGGAGAGTCTGGCGATGGTAGCTCAAGCACCAACTGCTCCTTCGGGTCAAACACATAGGCGTTGTCGTCAAAGGCAGCGTTGCTCGTCCTCTTGATAGTATCCGTAGACACAGGGCGTGGCCGTTTGATTGTTGGTGGCGCCAGCAAATGTTCTTCGCGATCCGAATCAGGGTCCATGTGAGAGGCATCGTCGGCACTCAGGCCTGAATCGAAGATGGCAGCTCGTTGGGATTCAACCGGAGAGCCCATCGGCGAGGAAAGTAGATCCTGGGCTCCGGTATCAGACTCGGACACAGCTTCTTCGTCCGATTCATATCGTTCTTGGAGACTATGCCGGCTCAAGCGGTGTAGATCCAGCGGGGTAGAATCGTACATGGTTCCAGCAGTCGACAGGGCCGATGATAGTATAGAAGAAAGGAATAGTTGTCACCGGTATCAAGCTGTCAAACCGTGGACGGATCCAAAGAAGAAGAGGGAAATAGAGAACAGGAGATACCAGCCCTGAACAAGAATGCCAGCAACGAGAGGGTGAATGGAAACCAGTCCAAGGAGAGATGACAGCGCCCTGATATCCCACGGGAACAAAGCTGCAAAGGAGATCCAAAAATTAACTCCTTCACACACGCGGAGAAGAAGACTCCTTTAAGGAGAGTGAGACCAGGGAGCTATGGACAGGGATGCATTATTCGACTAAAAAAAGCTGGTGAAGAAAAGAAAGGAGGGAAAAGGCTTCGAGGGGCGGTTCTTGCGATCTAGTGTTCCGAAATCGAAGGATCAAATCCTGCTCTGCTGGTTAAAGTTTCACTGTAAATAGGTCCGGGCTCCGTGCTGTCGATATCTCTACTGAGTCATCTCAAAAATCCTTGGCTTTCCCGAAACGGCAGGTACAATCCATACATCTTCAGTGGATCTGCCTTCCATAACCTCACCATCACCAGAGACTGCCTTCCACACCAAGATGTGAATTAACTGGTTGAAGTAAAATAAAGAAAAATACCAGACCCGTTCGAAAGTATCTTCCCTCTCCACTTTTTCGGGTCCCTCTCAAAGTATATAACTACCACGTGGTAGACTGGGAGTTGGGGTTACCCCGAAAACCTTAACCTTACAAGATGACAAGTATCCGCCGGATCTCAGAGACCCTAATTCATGTAAAGTCAGATAAGGAGTGCATCAAACAACGGAGTGACGAGCTTGGATAGGACGGGGCACTTTTTGTCTCGGAACAACTGGCCATAACCCCTATCTATATTAACGAACAACGCATGATTCCGCTTCCGAAGAGACCGTCGCCTCTCTCACAGAAGAGCAGCATAACAAACGGAGCAGTCAGGACCAAATGTAGACAATTATTATCGATCTGATACTAACGATAGTGATCGTATAAATTCCGAGACCCTCATCAATCACAAAGCCTTTGTTAGACCCTGAATCTTTGCAAGACTGTAGTTGTGTAGGGTTGAAGCCGATTGACTCAATATAACTAGGCTAGGAACTGTTTATAAAAGCGTAGAGAATATAACAAGTGAAATAAGCGGAACAGCAATAGGTAGAAGTAGCGGGCAAGGTGGTGGCAGAACAGAGCGTGGAGGGAGAAGGCTATATAAGATGGCCATATAGTATTCAACGCGTCTGACCCGTTACAGGTCACTCAATAACGCTATTACCAGTCATGGCATCCTTTGCACAAGTCTCCAGCAAGATTGGCAGTTACGTTCCCGTATGATTGGAAGTCGCTTTTCCTCTTTTCCGTCTTACCTCGCCTGTAACCTGTGATCACCCAAGGTAAGTGGAATTGAGTCGTGCCGACCGGCGAAGCGGTGCAGAGGCGGACAGGTCTCGCGGTAGATGAGCCCCTGCTAGTCTGGCCGAGCGACGGGGTCCACCATCGGGAGACGAGTCACTTGCTGTGAGGACGGAATGTGTCTCGGCATCTGACAAGGGGATTCGTAAGGGGCGAATCAAGGCATCTAGGGCTCCTTCGTTTCGACTGCAGTCATCCGTATCCTGGTCGTCGCAGAAACAAGGTCATCCACACTTACCACACACAGCATGACGTGCCAGATCCTGTATCTCGCCTTTCTAACCACTCTTCCGCGCAGGATAGATGAGAGAGCGCTCGGCACTGATGGCAACGCAAGATCACGCACTCATTGGCATGGTCTTCATCCTCGGTCAGGCAGAACACACAGTGGATGCTGTCGACCTCTTCACTCGGGGTGAGACTCTGGAGCGTCAATTCTTGGAAACCCGCCCGGATATTAGCGACGGACGCCAGAATAGCGGGTTGGGCCGGGGAAACGCGCCATGAAACACTGTTCGTCCGCAGCATTGCCGAAGTCACAAATGGATTGAATGGCTGCACTGGCTCGGGGTTGGTTGACAACCGTAACGGCGGGTCTTGTCTGAGCCTGTGAGGAGGTGACCGGCCAGTGTTGTCTGATGCAGGGCGTCGCCTTGAGGCTTACGATGTCTGACATCGGCCCCGATGTACAATGACTGATGGAGAAGCCATTCTGGAGCCATGTAGTACTCGCGCCTGGTTGCGGACGGCGGCTTCATACCACTGCTGGCCAACTTGGTCAGCCTGCCGTTGCCGGTGCTATCTCGCGCAGAGGAAGTCTCTGGCGACATCACAGAGCTTGGACTGCAACGTTGACAAGTCAAACGGCTCTCTGGCGAGAGTGGTCAACTTTTGATAGCCGATCTTGGTGTCTTCAACTTTGATCGAGTTTTTGCACGGCTCGCCTTTTTTCGTCGTCCCGCAACAAGAGCCAGGACCGCCATTGGGGCTGACCTCTATCTCACAAACGAGAAACGGATTCCAAGGCAGCATGGTAGTTATTGAGGTGGTCGTCAAAGGCAGAAAATGCTTCGGATTGTGTTGGTGTTGGGCAATCCACTGCGGCGTTCCCTCGCCAGCTTTATATGCCATCGCGTGGCTCCTTACCTACATGGCTGCGTGGCTGGCATGGAACACTTCCTTGAAACAGTCGGTACGTGGAAGAATGCATTCACACGCAGTATGCGCCATATACAGCCGATCAGTGGCCTGCATGAAGGGATATCATTCCAGACCACTGCTGCAATCAGCTGCACATTTGACTATCCATCGCGGGGACCATACATTGGCGAACAGATTGGCTACTGCGGTAGGCAGCGAAGTCGACAAATGCTGCATTAGATTCTGGGTTGCCTATGAATTTCGAAGTGCGTGATAGGTTGTGATTTGTTCTTATGGCGCTAGGTGCAAGATGTGGATACGTAGAGATAGATTCGGTTCCCAGGCCATCGACACACTACCAGGAACAGTTTTGGCGTTCCCAGGAGCTAGACCCCACAGATTCTCCAACTCCGCCTGAGCATTGTTGTCAAGGCTTTGTGATTGCTACGCACCTCTCAGCGGACTGACAGACTACACTCCTAGCTGACCACGGAATTTGGCTGAGGTGAGTATATAAAGGCCTCCCATATCCTACTTTCACAACTCTCACCTCACCCCCATCTACATTTCGTTAGCTCAATCCGCTGTCCCATCATGGTCTGTTCAATTCATTCTTGCTGATTTTACCGATGAGCTAATACATTACAGCGAAACCTCACAGAGCTGCCCAACGAGCTTTTGCTGTGGATTGTGTCGTATTTGGACGGTAGTGCATTATTTGCCCTCGCAAAATCATGCAAAGACCTTGATTTTAAACTGCAGCCCAGCATCTGGAAATACAACATCAAATTTCAGAACAGCAATCTGTTGCACCTGGCCGTCAAATACGACAACGTTGGTCTTGCGGAGGCTTTGCTCCAGCACAACGCCAACGTCAATGCATTTTACCGAGGCAAAACTTCTTTAATGAGGGCGCTCAAATACTCTTCCGCTGCTGTGCGGGATCTCTTGCTAAGTCGTGGAGACCTAGACATCAGCATTCAAAATCAAGCGCGGGAGAGCGCCTTGTGGTATGCTATCCACTACGGAACCTTTTCCGCCGTCAAAAGTGTCTTAAATCAACCCAACGTCCAGGTGGACATCAAGCACAAACACGGCCGAACGGCG